GAGAGAGAGAGAGAGAGAGAGAGAGAGAGAGAGAGAGAGAATTTGCACAAGTGGGTACTATAATAATCAAAAAATTTACTACGTGACCTTAGGCAAAGCACTTTCTCATACTGAGTGTCAGTTTCCATGTCTCAGAACTGTAGGTGACAAACCTTAGGGCACCTTCTGTAATGCTTCTTTTTATATCTGCCTGCCAGCTACATGGGGGGGAATTTTAGAACATTATCCAAGTCTTGTGGTAAGAGAAGGGTACAGAAATGAAAGGGAATATTGCATTATTACTAATTATTAGAACTACCTCTTCCCATATGTGACTTTACAAGTGCCAGCAAACTAGACCTGGCACGTAGTAGATGTCTGAATGTCCCAGGTGAAATAAGGAGCTAAACAGTCCTACCCTGTCTCAGCGAGGATGATGCACCCAACTTAGACAAGGCAGAGTTTGGAGGCGTTTTTGCAGGTAGAGTGCTCATTCCTTCCCCCCCTTCCAATCAGTGTCAGAACTTCTGATACTGACTTGGGGCAAGCTAACTGCAAACATTTAAAGTCCACCATAAGGACCTGGGGCTCAACATTGGAAGCCAGGACCAAAATAATGATTAGGAATGTTCTCTTGAGAAGAAACTGGCAGGCAGTCCAATGAGGCTGAGTCTACTGCTTCTGGAATAAGGGGAAGGGGACAAAGAGCATGGAGAGGTGACACACAGCTGAGACATTCATTTATGGAGGCTGATTTACAGATGTCTAAGATTTCAGTTTGATGTGCCTGGAATAAGATTCTACTTACTATTTTTTTAAAAAAGTCAGTCAATAAGTATTTATTAAGCACCTGTTATGTGACTATTTCTTTTGCCAAAAGGCAAAGAGACTTTAGATAGAAAGGGCAGAGGAAGGAACTGGGGGATAGGAAGGGATGCTTCCTTCAAGGAGAATTCTCATCCTTAAAGAACTCCCACAGAGGAGAGGACTCACCAGGAAGCGAACATCATCAAAGCCATTCAGAAGCAACTTGCTTTCGTATTGCTGCAAACCAACTGATTCCAGCCACTCCCCGACACTCTGCTCCAACATCCGTGAACCTGACGAGAGAGGAATCGGCAGACGCTTGAAAAGGGAAAAACCATTAAGGCGGTAGCAGCGGCACTCAGAGGAAGACAGATGGCATTGCCACATCATAGTCATTACTATCAAGCAGCCAAACTATGTACAAGGGTGCAACAGAACATCAACCCACAACTCCTCTTCTGTGCATAGACCATGGGGCCAGAGGTTCTGTGGCTTTATACACACTATCCCTCTTTAAAGGGATGTTGTAGCCAACCCCTAAAAGCCAGAACTGTGGCTAGGACTACAGTGACACATGCACTGATCTCTGGGCTTTCCTGCAAACACATCAGGGGGGAAATCCATCCCCCAAGTGGTGGCTCAAGTCTGTCAACTCTTTGTCTCATCAGGGAGGGGCCGGCATTCGCCCCGAGGCATTCCGGACAGTCAGTCCCTGCAGGAGCTCAAGGTGAGAGAGAAGCTGCTATTAGCCCATAAGCCACGTTCCCTTATCCACACCACTTCTGAAGCACCACCCTGATTTGCGGGCCAGGGACACGTCCTGTAACCTTGCAGCACAAATCAGTCATGAGAGAAAAGACATCTTCATGCAGCGGAAGGACACAGATACATAGCCAGGGCTCAGAGAGGAAGCAGCAGCAGCCACAGCCACTCCTGGGCTAGTGATCCACTATTTGCGGGAAGCCCAGCACATGCAAGTCAAGCAGCACAAAGAAAAGGGCAGTGGGAGCAAAAATAATTTTACTTTTTTTTCCCCAGCAGTCCCGAAACAAGCAAACCATGGCCACCACCTCTTCCTGTTATTTAGCAAAAGGCTGGGGCTCATAGATCCTGGCTCAGGCGTGGAACCACTTTCCCCACAGCACAGCATCCCAACTGGGTGCTCAGCTAATTGGGGTGAGAATCCGATTCAACATCTAGATTCTGGTTACTGGAAAATGGAACATCTCACAAGGACTCGAGAGAAGGGAGCACTGTCCACACAATCTTCCTATCTATATTGCCAGGTACTATCTAGGGCATGGACTTTGCCCCGATTCATTTTCTTCCTCTAAGTACGGCTGATCCTATGATTGACCCCAAGCAGATAGAAAGGGAGCTCAAGAGTAAGGAGGTAGATTTGGTTCTTTCCTAAAAACAATCTGATTAAGGGAAGGGAAAGAAAGGGAAAAGAAGATGAATGGTTGTTTGTTGGTAGGTGGTAGCTCAAGTCTACTGATGGCTGGTAGCTGATTTTTTTGGCTTAGAGACAGATGAGACCAACTTTCCCCTTGAGGTGCCTACACAGTGTTCCCAGATCTTGTCCTTTCACCTATGGAAATGAGTTGACAAGAGAAGACAGTCACTTGCTACTCTCTTCTACAACTGGAGAAGTAGATAGAACAAGGGAGAAAAAAAGTCCACACTTTCCTGATAGTCCTTGAAGGATCTGTGGTGGCAAATGTATAGACATCCACCTGCTTCTTAGCCCATTTAGTGCATCTGGCTTCCAAAGGCAGGTGTCAATAGAAATGGAAAAGAAGAAATCGAAGAGGAAAAGGAGCCAATTACAAAATCATCATCACCTCCGATGAACTCTCAGGATGTCAAGAGCCATTCCAGCCACTTCAGGGCACTTTCTACCCCGAGTCAGGACACTGACAACTTGCTCGATGAGCCAACACAGCCTGGAGACTAAAACCTTCACAAACACCTTCTGCCCTCTCTTCATCCGTCTGCTGCCCAACGGACGGCGGCCAGGGAGCTCTCGTGATCTAGGTGATCTCTCTGATGCACGCTGCAGCAATGGAAGATGCAGAGCCTGGGGCTGTGCCTAGTCCCTCACTGGGGAAAGCAGAGATCCAGGACGCTAAGCAGCAGAATCCTGGATGTTCCCGGAGTCTGCTTGCCCGGCTGCTGATTCATTTCTTCTCCGTAATTACACAGCTTTACAGCCGTGGTCCTTTATCCAGCAGAATGGGTGTCCTTGTTGAGAGACGCAGTAGAATGCTTTGTTTAAGAGCTCTGGGCTCCAGGCTGCCTGCTGCTGGCTCCCTGGTCCTTTCTCACTCTGGAGCGGCTTGTCCCTCCCCTTCCTTTCCCCCTCCCTTTCCTCCTCCCCTTCCTAGCTCAGTAAAATACAGCAGGGATTAGCTTCAGAGCAAAAGCGGCAACTGCCAAGAAAGGAGAGGAGAAAGGCGCTTCACAGTCGTCAAATAGCAATGAAAGATTTTTCCTATCTGTTCTGGGATGGACGACAGAGGAAGGTGAAAACTAAGAGGCTGCAAGTTTGCTACCTCTGAAGGATGAAAAGCTGAAGGATGATATTACTCTAAAATGAACCATTAGGAGGAATAAAGAAGATGCCTGCAGCTCCTGCCAATAGTTTCCTGGGACAGGCAGGAGAACAGTCTTATGAGGCAAGGGAAGGGGTAAGCAGTGGGGAGAGGTTAAAAAAAAGCTGTACCCTTTCTTCTGAGTAAATTACCACATAGACAACTATTCCCTCCACTTAGGGAATGTATGTATCTTTTGTTGCTTAGAACCACAGGCCGCAGGGAGTGATAAAAAGACAATAAAAGCAGGAAATCACAATAAGTGTTATCCATATGGGAATATCAAACAAATTCAGAAAAAAATGTGAGAGAGATTACCAAGCCATTCAAAACTGGAAAGAGATGAGCTTGGCAAAGGCCAAAAGGGAGCAGGGAATAAATCTTACGTGCACCTGAGGTGAGATGGGCTATATTACTTATTTTTACAAATCAACTTCATAGCACTGCACCATTACAAACTCTTGAATGTTTTAGAAGCAATCTGTAGGGGAGAAAACTGTAGATAGTGAACTAATTGGTAAATACAGGGTTTCAAATATAGGAAGAAAATCTAGAAATAATGAAAGATCCAAGAAAGAAAATGCCAGAAAACAGCTCTCAGAGAATGGGTCAGGCCTGAAGAAAGCTTGAAAAAATTATTTTCTTTCTCCTTGAATGGCATGGATATTTGGTTTAAAAACAACTGTCCTACAGCTATACCACTGAGACAAATTAAATTCACTACTCTTCTGGAGATCTGGGGGTCCAGGCAGGATTTCTAATAAAGATGGAGGGGATAATAAATTTAAAAATGAGGAAATAAACTCTACTAATAATGAGTTCTCCATCCTGGCAACCCAAGTACCCCATAGCCCAAAGAAATGTGATAAAGCAAATGCTGCTGCCTCAGACAAAAGGGACGGGCTTAGCCTTCAGCATATCTGACGCTGGCAATAGTCACGATGCAACATCAAGATTCAAATCGATTAGCCAAAGGCAGCCTGCCAATGAGTCCTCTCCTTTGTCGGACAACATGAAGGTCTCAGATCTTTCTTTTTCAACTCTTCAAAAAGCTAGTGTTAAGCTGGATCTCTGCCACCACTCACCCCATCATGAAAACCTCTCTGCTTCTGCCCGAGGTGAGGGTCTTTGTTCCCCTGGCCCTGAAGAGAGCTGACTCTTGGTATATCAATTATAGCCAGCACACATCCACCACACCCTAACAGCAGCAGGACAACAGGGGCCTGAGAGACCTCAATGTATGCTACAGCAGCCATTTTCCTCAATACCACTTTTCCGATCTGGAAAGGTTAAAAGTACAGAAGAAAAGAGGTGACAAATCAACTAAAATATGCTCAAATGAGGCTGTGTTGTCTCTATTAGACTTATCCATAAAGTAGTCAATTCTCAATGCAGAATCCTATAGACAGGGTGGGAAGAAAGGAAGTATTACAGTAATAAAGAAGGCACTATCATCAGAGAATCATTCTCTGGTCATGATCTCTCTGGAAAAGGGTTCAGGAGGGACTGTCTAACTTCCTGGTTAATGAAATACATGAAAAATTACTCTGAGAAATAAAGTTTTGCTCTGAGATATCCTCAGACTAGGGACCAGGGGCAGGCATGAAATATGGTGGGGGGAGTAGAAAATAGCTGTGGCTGAGGCTTCAATTTTAGCCCAGGAAAGGAGCAATCTGATCGAGGAAATATCACCTACTAATAGTTAGGGCTTGGCCAAAAAAGAAGGAATGACCTCTCAGAAAAACTGGAACATAGATGCTGGAAGAGGGAAAAGACTAAAGGACCATGCCATTTATGGATCGGCTGAAGGAAATGGGAAATGTTTAGCCCAAGAAAGATGAGGTTTAGGGATAGCAAAGCTGTCTTCAGGTATCTGATAGGTATTCTTAGTAAAAAAGGAATCAGACTTCTTTTGCTTGGACCTAGAGAGCAAAGGTAGGAGGAACAGCAAGAGGCAGATAAAATAAAATAGAAGAGGTAGACACAACTCCTGACTTGTGGGATGATAGATTCCCAATCACCACACATGTTCAGGTGGAAGTTGAAAGATTACTTGCTAGGTATACAGCAGAAGGCATTCCTGTACGGGTTGGGTTTCCAAATCCAAAATTCAGCGACATCATTCCTAATCTCTCTGCAAGACATTTGGAAGGCATTGCTGCCCTACAGGGGGGAGGTCAATAGTACAACTCTAGAATCTAAATCTGAAAAACAATAGTGAGAAGGAAGCAAACAGAGAAACAAGCCACAAACACAGAAGCTGCCACTTCAGCCTTCCTGAATTTGAATAAAACCCATAGAACAGTAATCCTTTGAGAGATCTATCCTATTTTAGTGAACCCTTTATTTACAAAGGCAATTTTTGCTTTTATTGGAGCAAAGCACAATTCTTCTCTCTTCCCTATGGTGTTATGATGCCATATTGACTATGTCATCAATCAAGGTCTCTGCCAAGCCCCTACAATAGCTTGTGCAAGATTTGGCATTAGTATAAAAGTCACTCAGTGGTCAACACCCTGACTCACCTCCACGCAATTCACCACTTTCAATAAGAGGGGTTTCAATTCCTTTTAACGGAGTCGGGAATTCACCTTAACTACTAGAGAACCTGTCCCTGCTGTAAACAAGGCCACTACCTACCTCCTCTCAGTTGCAGGCTTCCCTAGTGTCCAAACAGATTGTAGGGGGACAATTTGTGAGCATATATACCCTGCATGATTAGAAGGTTACTAATGTATTTTTCCAAATACCTTTAACAACTCTACCGACTTGGTAATTAAAAAAATACAAACATAATTCTACCAACCCAGGAAAACAACTCAAGGGGTAAACAGTCTCTTATTTAATGTAAATAAAATAGTCACAAGGAAGAAGACGTTGCTTCTAATGTTTAGAAATAATAACAACAGAAAGGCAGCGTGGTTTAGTGTAGTATAGTCATTGTCAGTATAACTGGGTAAGAACACACAACTCTAAAACATCAACATTGGCCCTGGGCAAGTCCCTTCCTCTCTCGGTGCCAGAAACAACTTTCCAAGTGCACAAGTTGCAGAGCAGGAGCTGATCTCTACTGGCAGGAGCAGCCCTTATAAGGAATTCCCTACACTGAAGAAATCATGTCTGGGCAAAAAGAATGACAAAGAGGACAAAATGTTTATTGCCTGACTGACTGATAGTCATGGAAGTTCAGTAGTAGTCTGGGCATCGCGTGGCATAGCAGATCGAATTAGCTTCAGAGCTAGGAAGACCTGAACCCGGTCCTGCCTCTGACATGTACTTTGTGACCTTGAGCTAGTCACTGCACCTTTGGGGGCCCCGGGAACCTCATTATAACTTTAAGCTGCACAGCACAGCAGCTGCTCCTCTACACTGATAGAGGAGTTTTTCCCTGGGAGTTTCCTACACCAATAAAATTACAAGTCCAAACACACACAAGTGTCAATACATATCCTCAAGTATCATCATAAATTGGGGTAAAGGATAGTAAAGTCAATTTTGAAAATTATAGATGCAAAAGTAACTGACATTTACATATCACTTGGAGATTTGCTAAGTGCTTTATGGTCATTATTATTTAAGGTCATTATTTAATATTCATAATAAACCTATGTATAAAGTACGAAAAGGTAATATCAGTCCCACTTAACAGATGAAGGAACTGAGGCTGGAGAGGTTAAGTAATCTGCTCAGGATCACATACCTAATAGATATCTGTGGTCAGCTTTGAATCCAACTCTACTGGGATGTGCCAGAGCCAACTCAGATCAGCTTACAAGAGCCAATTGTTAAGTTTTCAGTGTGCATTTACCCCTAGAAACTGGCAAGTCAGGGCTTGATTTATCATTTTGTTGATTATCTAGGCTTCTTTTCCCCCCAGAGAGCTGGAGGCAAAACACCCTTACCCTTTAGTCACTATGCTAATCATTATGTTACATGCACTGCCTCTTTTTGAGACATCTTAAGGAAGGAGGTTCTATCACATTTTTGTCAGTCCAGAAGTTGGTGCTATCACAAACTCACTTCTCTAGGACTCTGACAGTTTGCAGAGCACTTGTTTCACAATTCTCCTGTGAGGCAGGTAAGGTAGTGCTTAATATTATCTCAATTTTATAGATAAGAAAATTAAGGCTCAGGTAAATCAAGTGGATTACACTAAGGGTCAAAGCTGGTGTCCACTGGTCTCCTGACTGAATTCATTGTACCTTTTACTCTATTTTACAGCCTTTCATTTCATTTTGAATTCTAACTAATAATAGAAGATTAACATTTGCCAAATAAAGTCCTTACTCTTATAATGAGCTAATAATAATACCAGATTCACTAAGGTAAGAGTGTTTTTGTGATTATTACATAGGTATATGCCAACTTTTAGCAAATTTATATCAAAAGCTAAATTTATAAATGAAATGACTAATAGCCAGCTCGTTTATTATAGTACATTTGAAAAGGATTTGATTGACCAGAATTCAATGTGTGTGTGTATATGTGTGTGTTTAAGAACACATCTATTGTGTAAAGTACACAGTTCCTCATATAATGTTGGCCATTTGGGGAATATACAATAACAACACTAGACTTTAAATTCTCAAAGCTGGTGGCAGTGATTGTACTGGGATAAAATAATCAGTTGTGCTGCTCCCTCATTCACAGATTATCTTTTGTATTAAAAGGATAAACTTAGATGAGAAAGTCATTTATCATCCAGGAAAGTTAATACTACCCAGAGGGAAGGGCTGTTCAGTTAGCCATGCCAACGCAGTTATTTATTCTATAATAAATTTAGCTGCATGTCTTGTAGGGAAAAAGGAGGAAGAACCTGAGGTCTGGGAAGGTTTAGTGTACAAGTTCTCACAAAAGCAGAACATGGATTTGAACCCCAATCCAGTGCTCTTTCCACGATATGCTATCTCATAAACGTAGTGAGCCTATACAAAGGGCCGTGGTCCTATTGGCATAATACTCTATCCAACTAGGCCATCTGACCACATTTAAAATGGTACCTGAGATCTTCTGCTGTTCTTGAGAAAAGTCTATGCCTTCCCCGATTGAACTCATTATCTTTTCGATCTGAAATGTAAAAAGAGAAAAACAAAAGAGAAAAAAGGCCATTAGATTTGAATGACACTTTAGAGAACAGTATTTGAAGCAACAGTAGAGAATTGATTTCACATTCCAACCCAGGTGAAGCCTGGGTATCCCTAAGGTCAGAATCAAAACAATAAAACCAAAAATCAAAATGATTAAACAACTCACAGTGATTTATAAATAAATTTATAAATAACTCATCTCCAGAAGTCACATCCCCATCAGAAATCCCAAAGAAGCCTATCCAGAAATGGTGTCTGGCAAAGGGTGTGGATTCAATTCAACTCAAGAAACATCTATTAGTACTAAAGATACAATAATGTAAAGTGGCAGTTCTTGCTTTTGGGGAGCTTTCAAACTCATACAGATCATGTACAAAAACAAGTACAACAAAAGTAGAATGTGAAAGGGGCAAAAGAAGTGCCAAAGTACTTTAGGAAAATCCGAGGATGAATACAGCAATTCAGCTGCAGGGAGACAAGGGAAAGATTGATAGCAGGGGCAGCACCTGAAATGGTTCTTGAAGGAGATGGGGAAGTATGAATCAGGAACGAGAGACAGCCTGCACAGATGTAGAACATAGGCAGGAGAGAGCACACCAAGCAATCTAGTTTGGTTGGAATATAGAGAAATTAGGACTGTTTCTGGCTGAGTAGGGGTCTACTCCATGGCACCACTCTGGTGAGAAAGCAATATTTATCTCTCTCCGTAGGTTTTTCAGACCCACAGCTAAAAAGTTAGTCTTCTGGCCACAGCAGAGTTAAGGAACAAGAAGAATCACAAGTGAGGAAGAATCACAAGTGAGGCTAAAGATGCAACAACATACGCAACCAGTCACACTGCAATTTGTTAGGATGAGTAAGAGGCTTTTGCTGCTAGTGGGAGATCTGAGAGCCATTTCAAAGGCTTGGAAAGGTAGAAAAACATGAATGTGGGGCTGCATCTCACAAGTAAGCCCTCACTCTTTTAAGGGAGAACCCTGCAGGCCAGGATAGTGCACCTATATTACCAAAGACAGCTTGGTTTAGTCAAAAAAGCATTGGACTGGGATTGAGAAGACCCAGGTACCAGGACTGGCTCTGCCGTTTACTAGCTATGTAACCTTTGGCATCCTGCCTTCTTAAGCCTCAGTTCCTATAACTTTAATAAGAGTTTATACTACTTATGTTACTTACTTCTCAGGACTGTAAAGACCAAGTGAATCACAAAAGCTAAGAGCTCTAAGGGCCAGGGAGATGACTTGGTCCAACCCCCTTAATGGTACAAATGAAACTGAGGCTCAGAAAAAGACTATGACTTGTTCACAGTCAGTTTTAATTTCAACAAACATTTATTAAGCATCTATTAAGTCCAAAGCATTAGGCTAACAGCAAAGGTGAGAAATAAAAACAATAGTCTTTGCTTTTAAGAGGCTTATCTTCTACTGAGGAAATACATGTATATAGATAATCCTAAAATAATTTGAAGGACAGAGCATTAACAACAGAGAAAGTCAAGGAAGGCTTCATGGAAGAGGTGATATCTGAGAGGTAGAGCTGAGGAAGCACTGCATTTTAGGCATGCAGAACCTCTTCTATAAATACATGGAGGTGGCAGATGGAGTGTTCAGAGAATAGCTAGCTGAACTATAAAGGTAGGCTGGAGTCATAAGCAGGGAGACCAATTAGGAGAGTGTTACAACATTCCAGGTGAAAGGTGATGAGGACCTGAATTATGAAATATTCTGATTCAAGAAATGCTGTGGAGGAAAAAGCTGCAAGGACTTGGTGACTGACTGCACATGGGGTAGGTGGAGAGAAGGAAGAGCTGCGACTCTGGTTACAGAGCTAGAATCTGAATCCTGGTCTCCTTGATTCTCAGTCTGGTCCTCTTAGCATTACCCATCAAAGAACTTGGGAACCATAATGTGCTATGTACATTCAAACTAATATTGCCACCTCAAGAAAGACCTTCTGGGTAAACCCAATCTCAGACCTGGAGGCTTTGTTCTAGGGAGCAAGAGCAAATTAGGGGGAAGATTCAGTTGGTGCGCTTGCCCCTGAAGCCCTCCCCAGGCAAAGACAAGGGAGGAAGGGGTCCAAGGCACTTCAGGATTCCCCTAAGGAGGCCAGCCTCGCCACGTGACCATGTCAAATATCTCCTAGAAGCCTGGAGAGTAGCAGGAACAAGCCAATGCAAATTCCTCTCTTCCTTCCAAAAGGACATCCGATCTGGGGCCTAGAGATGAGGGGAAAAAAGAACTCATTCACAGCACTTTTCAAAAGAAGTGAAAGGAGAATCCTTTGTACAGAGCCTTAGATATTCTCTCCCCTAAGCATAAGGAAAAAGACTTAGTAATGCGATTGTGCCTAACGGCCACAAGGAAGGCAGGAAAATGATTTCACCTATCTTTGGCTGGCAGACAAAGGCAGCACACTCAACACCCAAGAAGAAAAGGATATGGCCACTTCCTCCTTGCAGCCAGAAGATCTGGAAAGTATTTCCTCAAGAACCACAGGGACAGATTTTTCAGCTTAATGTGTCACCTGATTTCCTGTTAAGACTCAGGTAATATAGCTCAACCCCAAACCCTGAAAATGCAAAAAGAGACACTATAAATCTCATCTCTGAGGGAAACAAAACTTCCCTTTGGGAGCTTTCAACCTTGAAGCAGGCAACAGACATCTATAGGATGGGCAAGACTGCAGGAGGTTGTTAACTCAAATGGACTCTTTTTTCCCCTATAACGAACGTTATCTTATCATGCCACCTCACCCCATCTGCCCATCATTTAAGATCCAGCTTAACTCTCATTTGTCCTTCAGGAAGCTTTCTCTGACAACTCTAATTCAAAGTTTTCTTTACATTTCTGAAATATTACAATACGTCCCATACAATTTGGTTCTGTATCAAGTACTGGATAGATTGCTCTTTTTGTTTTGGATGTGTTAGCCTAGTCTATTAAACTAAACTGAAAACTCCTTGAGGGTAGAGACTATAATAATATAATAACTCACATGTATATAGCACTTTAAGTTTACAAAGAACTTTCCTCACAATTACTCTGCAGAAAGTAGAGGCAGGCGTCAGTCACAGACTCATGGAACTGGAAGAGATCTTGGAAATCATCTGGCCCAGCTTTACCATTTTATAAATTAGTAAACTAAGGCCAAGGGAAGTTAAGTTATTTGCTTAAAGTCATAAAGATGATGTTAGAGCTGGATTTACACTCTAGCAGTCTCACACAGAAACCTCCCCAAATCTATCCATGGACTTGGGGGTCCATGACCCCCAGGCTAAGAACCTCTGGACTAGGGGCAGGTAAAGAAGGTAGTTGCAAAGGATTCATGTGAAAGATGAATTTTTCTCCTTTTTTCAACTAATCAATAAGAAAATATTAAACTAGCCAATTAACAAGCAATGTTGTGGCTGGGGCAGCTGTAGGAGAGGTCACCAGGCAGCATCCACACAAGGGCTGCTTCCAAGGATGATAACAATGGACAGTGGGCTAGAAGCCTTGCTCTTACATTCACGAGAGTAGCACGATTTTTAGAAAAATCATCTTGGCAGCTGAAGGGAGGATGGAACGCAGTAGGAAGACATGAGGTAAGGAGCCAGGTAGAAGATGATTCTAATAATCCAGGTAAGAGATGAGGAGGGCCTGAACCAGGGTGGTGGCTCTGGGAGTAGACAGAAGGGGATGAGATCAAGGGTATATGTAGAGGAATTGGCCTTGGCAGGAAGAAGGGCCACCATTTCATTTGAGAACAAAGAGAAGAAGAGGATAGTGGGGAGAGATGTCGCAATTAAATGAGATGAGGAGGGAAGACAAGAGAGCTCTCAGGGAATAGTCTCAATTTTTTTCAGTGAAGTATGAGGTAAGATCTGTGCTGAGAGGCTACAGGGAGGTGGAACTGTGGGAGGCTTAAGAAGGGACAAAAATGTTTGGGACAGCCTCTGTGTAGCAGTACATTAAACTGAATAGGGAGGAACAGAATATTTTTAAGCTTTCATATTATTAATGCCAGACATTCTTTCCTCTATGGCCTACAGGTAATTATTTGTTATAACCAATGGAAAATATTGACTCAAAAACTTTTGGTGAACTGTAACACATAGGTAGAGTTATTTAAAAATCTTGCCTTGGACACACAAATGCCTTGTCCTAGCTTGGAAAAGGTGAGTAGAAGAGAAGAGAATGGAAGAATATTTGAGAGTACCAGGACAGCAAACTGTTTTTCAGAAGTAGTGGAAAATACCAAAGGAAAGAACCTTAGAAACCACCTAGTCCAAGCCCCTCATTTTCTAGGGGAAAAAGCTGAAGAGCAGCAAGGGGAAATGGATTTTTTGCCCAAGGTCATTACGCTAAAAAGTGATTGAGCTCAGACTTGAACTCAGGCATTCAGAGTCCTAATGACAGACCGTCTGGGAAGCTAGGGGCCATTTGGTGAGGCCCCAATTAGTGTGAATACCGAAACCTCTGAAGTGGTTGCCTTATTTGAACTTTCACTGCATATTTCTGTTGGGCTGGAACCAAATACCATATTTTACATACTTATAATTGTGAACAGTGTGAATTCAGATAAGTGCAATGACTTCAGGGGATTCATCATTTGCACTAATTAGACCTAGCTATATTTCTCAAAACCTTCCCCCTCTGAATTTGTAGGTTCTCATTTTTCCTTGTAAATTAAAAAAAACTATTCCTTCAACTCAACACCTCCAAAAGAGGCTCAGCTGCTTAAACTTAGTCAACAAATCCAAGTCATATGAATTTCTTCCAGAGGGTCTTCTGAGTCTAAATTAATGGAGCCCAACACCCTTGGTCTGCTCTCTCCAGTACCAGCCTAGACTAAGGTGATTATCATCATCAACAACAAACATTTAGGTATGTCAGCCCTGGTTTCTGATGACTAGAACCTAGGGAACAGCTGATTCTTGACACTCAGAATTACTACAGCTAAACAGCAAAGTCTGATTGGGTACTCTGTGAATTGCTACAT